AACAAGAGGTGAGCATGTACCTCCTTTCAAACTAAAACAGATTAAATAAATAAACTGAATTTAGTTTAGTTTATTTGGGTCATTCTAGGTCAAATCATTCAATGTTTTTTACCGTCTCAGATTTTGATGAAAAGTGGCATATTGTGATCCCACAGGACAGTATCTGAAATCCAGTCAGCTGGACCAGTGGTTCCAGAAATATGGGCCTCAAACTGATTGATTGATTGATTGATTGATTGATTGATTGATTGATTGGTTGATTGATTGAAAAAAGTCATGATGAAACAGAAAAAGGTTAAAAATTAAGCAAGACAGTGAAATGACTTCAACTAAAGAATTAAAGTCCAGTTGCTGTTTTTTTAAAACCTTTTCTGTTTCTACTGGGTCAGTTTTCACAAACTTTGTGTCGTTGGAAAGAGAATTCGATAAGGATTCCAAATCAGCCTTGTTTTTTTTTAAATGTAAGCATGTTTGGTTCCATTAAAAGTTTGATCTTTCCCATAACCTTGAAATTGACCTTGTGGATCACTCACTCAAAACTACTATTATCATTAAATCAAATTTTATCATTTCCAAATATTTTAAGATTTAAATATATACAAGATATACAAGATTTAAAATCAGTAAATCTACCTTGCAGATCTGTCATACTCAAAGAAATTGGTATCTATTCCATTATATGTCAAAGTTGTTTCTCTTGTATACTACATTATAAGAGTCTAAATTGAGGCTGCATGTAAATATAGTTGTAGCTTTTAAATAAAGTGTGTAATCAGTTTCTTAAGTTCAAAACTTTATTTTTGAATTAGTTTTACCTTCATTGTCAGCACAAATGGCAAGGCAACACAGGGATTTGAACCCCGTCCCATATATGGGAGTACCAAATACCATTGCCTTTTGCTTTTTTTGTAATTTGACAAGGTAAAGCAAAACTTGCATTAAGAACAGCATGGAAAAATATCAAGTGAAAAATTGTAGGTGTTCAAAACTACTTTTATCATTAGATCAAATTTTGTATTTATCATTTCCCAATATTTTAAGTGTAATCTCAATAAATGCTGTCTTAATGCAAGAAACGAAACCTCTAGTCTATGAACACGGGAACATACTGTATAATGAAGTATTTTGTACATTATAAACTAAGGTTTGCATGAGCAAACAAAAATACAAGAGAACTACATAACAAATTTTGGATGGTGATATTTTAAATGCATTTTAATTCAGCATAGACGTTTTCATTATAATCTCAATTGTCTATTTGAATTAAACATTTCAGACATGTTAAGTTATACAAATTGCCACCATTATCCACATATCC